GGAGGAGGAGGAGGAATAATAAAACAGGAGGTGGAGGAGGAGGACGAGGAGACGGCAGGATGAGAGGGTGAGGAGGAGAAGGAGGGGGAACGGAGGTGGAGGAGGAGGAGAAGAGAAGGAGAGGAGGAGGAGGAGGAGGAGGAGGAGGAAATGGACGAGCAGGAGGAGGAACTGGCATTCCTGTTGTTCGCAATGCTGGGCTCGTGGCCACAATACGAGAGGCTGCGGCGCAACTCCGAAAAGCCGCTGTGGGGGGTCGACGGCACGGCCGCGTGCAGTGCCGCCGTGTTCCGGCGCGGCCCTGGGATGCAATGCCGCCGCCGTGTTCCGGCCCGTCCTGGTAAGATTCGCGCGTCGGGGCTGTGGTTCGCGCGTGCCGGGAGCGCGCCGCTTACGGAGGGGTTGCGTCCTTACCGGGGGGGTTCGTGCAGCCTACCACAGGAGGTCGTGTTTACCGGGGGGGTTCGTGCAGGCTCGCACCGGGAATGGCGCCAGCTCGAAACCCCCCAGGAGAGATTACCGTGGGGGGGGGGTCGGTCCGCATTGGGCACCGCCGACATACATGCATGCATGCATACATGCATGCGCACATGCACACATATACATGTAAACATGTACACATACATACACATACGCATATGTCACAGACACACCCATATGCATCTACCGACGTCTAGATATGTACGCATAAAGAGACACCCACATACACACCTACACATATAACCTCAGGAAGGCATTAAGAACCCCCCCCCCTTTTCCGGTGGATTATAAAGCCCCCGCACCCTGGAGCGTTATGGCCGCACCGGAAGACCTGGCTGAGGGGATTCGGGGCCTAGCTAAGGCCTGCCAAGCGCAGATTTGCTCCTGCCAAGCAGTTTAGCAGGGCCAAGCAGGGCTTAGCAAGGCTTAGCAGGGCATAGCAGGGCTTAGCAGGGCTTTGCAGGGCTTTGCAGGGCTTTTGTTTTGTCACGACACCCTCTCTTGGCGTTAGTGGGGCGGCCGCCGATGGTGGATGTTGTTTTCAGTGTGCGGCGGGTGCTAAGGGTGCTAAGAATAACCCAGGGGGGGGGGGGTTCTTAATGCCTTCCTGAGGTTACACGTACGCACATACACAAACAACATGTATACACATATCCATATTCGCATATGTATATTTACAGACATATGCATGCACACTTACATATACATTCGCATGTGAACATATACGACTGCCCGTGCAACTGTATGTACATAGGCCGATACAGTTTATACATGCATATACATATACGATTACATACACGCACACATACATATGCACAATTATACACGTGCACATACACATGCACCCACATATATTCCATGTATGTGTATGTATACAGTTATACAGTATACATTGATACGGATGCACATGCCTATATACACACATATGTGCCCTGCACACATACGTATACATGTACGTTTCTATATATATATATATAAATAAATAAAAATATTTGCACATATAAATATGTCTGGAGCACCGTATGCATACACATATAAATATGTCTGGAGCACCGTATGCATACACACATACATCGACATACGCATCAACATGTATATACACATACACATATACACGTATACACATATACATATATACATATATATATATGCATATATATATATATATATATATATATATATACGTGTATAGTGTCATGTACCTAGGCATTTACAGATACACAAACATTTAAATACACATATACACATACACATACACAAACATGTACGTATACATATGCATGTACATATACATGTGCATATACAGGCATGCGTATGCATATACATTAACAGATTCGCATGCCCGCTATGTGCTGCAAGCTGTGTGGCGCAAGCTATGTCAGCCAACAAAGCACCAGCCGGTGCAGAAAGCGACCGCGAAGCGCCTACGGGCGCCCACCTGGCGAAAACAGTGCATTCTCGGCCAACACGAGCCGCCGACGAGGCAAGGCCACCGGCCTCTTTCGGCCTCGCCGCCGGGCACTTCCCTAGATACAGCAGGGCGTTCCAGAGAGGCCTCGCCATTGAGAGGTTGACATCGCTTCTTCGGCGGAAGGTGGCGGATGGCTGGCGGAACAACGAAGGCGGCTCCGCCAGCAGAAGTTGGCGAATATCCACAATTCCCAGCCAACACGCGCTGCACACGAGACCTCCGCGGGCGCCCACCGGGCAAACACCCAGAACACCCAGCCAACCTGAGGCGTTCACCAGTCGACAATTCGGGGCACCCCGTTAGGTGCAAGCTTTCTTTGGGGAATATATTTGACCTCCTGGGGTCCTCCGGGGGAGCATCGTGGGGGTTTTGGGTCCTCTTGGAGGCCCCTTGGGTTGAGGTAATGTAATTGAGGTAGTGATGTTTGGCCTATTCGAGGTCATGTTTGGGTATGTATTGAGGTAACTTTTGGCTTATTCGGCCTAATTGATGTAATGTTGGGGTATGTATTGAGGTATGGGCCTGGACTGGCCCCCTGCGTGGGCGGCGCAGACGTCGGGGGTCCTTACAAGACCAAGATTTGCAGAAACCCTGCCAGACGCAGGCAGGCACTTGGCACTCTGCCACGCCTCAGCGTACCAGGGGGCACGGTGGCGGATAGTGTAGTGCTGGACATGAGCTGGCGGTGGATGCACAACATGGGCGGGTACACGAATTGCATCAACGATGAGGATGGGAAGTGGGCGAAGGATTACTGTCCTGACGCGGCGACGTGCGCGAAGAAGTGTGGTGTGGAGGGCTTGAACTCCACCCAGTACAGCGACACCTATGGCATCAGCGCGTCGAAGGATGCCTCCAGCCTGACGCTGAAGTATGTGCCTGGCTCGCGCGTGTACATGCTGGACAGCACGGGCAAGGAGTACCTGATGTTCCAGCTGAAGAACAAGGAGTTCACCTTCGACATCGACCTGTCCACCCTCCCCTGCGGAACGAACGCGGCCCTCTACCTGATCGAGATGGCCTCCGACGGCGGCGGCTCCGAGGCGGGCGCCGCGTACGGCGCCGGCTACTGCGACGCGCAGTGCCCGCAGGGCATGAAGTTCATCAACAACAAGGCCAACGTCGAGGGCTGGGGCATGATTCTGGCGGAGACCCCAGAGTACGAGTGGATGGAGGTCGGCCCCGTGGGCAAGTACGGCGCCTGCTGCGCGGAGTTCGACATCCTCGAGGCGAACAACCAGGCGATCGCGATCACGGCGCACCCCTGCAGCATCGAGGGCCTCCAAACGTGCGAGGGTGAGGAGGAGTGCGGCAACAAGAGCAAGGGTCTGCCAGGATTCTGCGACAAGGATGGCTGCGGCATCAATCCGTATCGCATGGGGGAGCCCACTTTCTACGGCCCTGGCAATAAGTTCACGTTGGACACGTCCAAGCCGTTCACTGTGGTCACCCAGTTCATCACCGAGGACGGTACCGACGATGGCGACCTCGTCGACATCAGGCGCACGTACATTCAGGACGGCGAGGTCATCGACAACGCCGTCACCTCCGTCCTGGACGCGGCCGACCAGGGCAACTCCTTGAACGACGACATTTGCACAGCAACCGTGAAGAAGTTCAACGTCACGAAGAAGAACGAGAAACATCACACGGCGAGGAAGAGTAGGACCTGGATGGACACCTTCAAGCTCGCGGGCGGCACCAAGGCTATGGGCGAGGCCATCGGCCGAGGCATGGTGATGTCCATGTCGGTGTGGGACGACGGCCTCGGCAGGATGAACTGGCTCGACAGCGAGAAGACGCTTATCGACGAGGACACCAGCGAACCTGGCGTGGCCCGTGGCCCCTGCAGCTTCGAGGAGGGCGTCCCGAAGAAGCTCCACGCCGAGAACAAGGACGCCTACGTCACTTTCAGCAACCTGAAGATCGGCCCCATTGGCTCGACCTTCCAGGCCGACAGCGGCCAAGGCCCGCACCCCCCCCCGTTTGATGAGGTCCCGCCGGCGGAGGCTGACACTGCCGCTACCGGGGCGGCCACGGAGGCTAGCGGCGCCGAGGACAACATCGGGGAGCTAGCGGTGACCGCGACGGGCGAGTCGGACACCGCCTCCGACACGGTCAGCAACGTCGTGGCCACCGAGCCGGAGATGACCACGACGGCGCGGCCGGCCACGACGGCGCCGCCATCCACGGCGCCGCCCACGACGGCGTCCCCAGCGTCCACGACGTCGTTCTCCCCCACGCCGGGCTGCGAGTGGATCCCGGATGACAACTGCCAGGACGCAAACGAGTTCGCCTGCGCGTGCCGCAAGGCCAATCCCGGGGGGCCCTGCACGGAGTGCGGCCCCAACATGGGGCCTTCCACGCCGAAGACCAGCATCGCCAGGCGCTTCGAGATGCCCGCCCAGCCGCCGCTGCGCGCCGGGGCACCCTCTGGCGCGGCGGCGCTAGCGGCCCTGTGCGCCGCTGCCGCGGGGGCGGTCCTAGCGGCAGTCGCTGCGGCTGCCCGCCGCGGCCGCCAGGGCCCGTCGGACGTGCAGCTGCTCGCCGGCGACGAGGAGGCCATGAACGTGGAGTAGTGGGCTCCACAGTCGAGGATCGGCTGCGCGTCAGCGAGACCCTTTGCAGGGGTGACCTCTGGTGCGGGCCCGCAGGGGTCCCCCTTAGCACTGGCCTGCGCGCTTGGCACTGGGTCCCCCCGCGGCCCCCTCTCCAGCCGCGCACCAGAGGTGCCTAAGGTTGAGTCGGGCATGTCCCTCTACAGGAGGAATCTTCAAAAATATAAGAAATAGTCAGGGGACGATTTTTCCGTGTTTTTTGTTTTTTCTTGACTCTTTTTGCTTTGTCTTCGGAAAGCCCGCCTGCAGGAGGACATGCCCGACCTAAGCCTAAGGTCACTCCAGCGTGTAGCCGACAGGAGCCGAGGCTGGGGAGGGTGCCGGGGAGGCGGCCCGACGCGGCCTGGGCTGACGGCTTGGCGGCCTTCCAGTTTTAGTGTTAGTCGGGCGTGTCCCTCTACAGGAGGAATATTCAAAAATAGTCAAACAAATAGTCTGGGGACGCTTCTATACATATATATACACATATTTGATTATTTTTGATTCGTTTTCGACTATCTTTGTTTGTCCTGCAAAATCCGCCTGTAGGAGGACATGCCCGACCTGATCTTCATGCGCCTCGCGGGGGCGGGGCGGAGGATGGCCGCCAGAGCAGCGCGCTGGCCGGTGGGCGCGGAAACGGCAGCTCTCGGAGAGCTCAAAGTTTTTGGTTTGCTAAGTGCACGCCGCGCTCCCGGCAGTCCTCTCTCCGCTGCCCAGCGGGAGGGGCTGGGCGGGGTGGGCCGGGTGGGGGCGGGGATCGGGGAACAGACATTGGCGTATAGACACAGACACCCGGAGGTCCGCGCAGGTTGTGCCAGGGACGGGGCCCAGCGCCCGATGCGAGAAATCCGCGAGTGCCTCAGAGTGTTTATCTTTATGTCACTGTTTGTTCCCCTAGGGGCGGGTCAAGGGAAGAAACACCACACCAACCCCAATAATCGGCGTTTGCTGAGCGGCCCTGGAACTCGGGTTTGCCGATGCTTTTTTGACGAGCGCGCCCAGGATTTTTACGGTCCAGTTTTCGTGAGATGTTTGCAGCGGGAGTTCACGTCAAATTTCAGATGGGGTCTCGTCATTTTTATGATGGCCCCGTCAGGCCAATCCGAGTCCCCCGTACCCGAGTATTACGTCTCCCCGCCCGGTAGAGGGCCGGCGGAAGGCGGCGGAAGGCAAGGCCACTTTTGGAACGCCTCAAGTAGATATGTCGACAACTCCTTGGCGGTCGCCTGAGTACCCGTACCCGAAGTATGATGGTCCCGCGTACCCGAGTCTTGGTAGAGTTGTGGAGGGCGAACAATGGAGAGGAAGCATGCTGCCAAATAGTTTCCAGATGTCTAAGACATGTGTTAAACATGTTTTGGACATGTAATAAACATGCTTAAATCATGTTTAGAACATTTTCCGACATTCGAAACACATTTTGAATTCAATGATAGGACTGTTAGGGTGTCCATTGTCGTGGCATCCACAATGGTAGGGGGGGGAGGCGGGCGAGGCGCACGAGCCCTGCACGTGCACTGTAATTGCCGCTGGCGCGGCCGCGACTCCGCTGCCCCGTGTCGCTCCGGGGGCCCGGGAGGCCAGCCGCTCGCCCTTCCTCGGCGACTGCAAAGGGTGTGCTGGTGCCAAGGTGCTGGAGGAGTCGGAGGTGGATAGACCTCCTGCCCTGACACGTCGATCAGTGAATTGGCCGTTTTCGGTTCGCGAGAGGGCGTCGCGGCCGTCATTTTTACGGGTCCAGGTCCGTCGGTTTCGGTCCCAGGCCGTTCTCATTAAGGGGAGGTTCACTAAAGGGAGGCTTGTCCACCGCCGAAGGAGGAAAAGGCACCCAGACCTCTGCCCCCTTCGCCCGCTCTTCCCTTCATGGGCCTCCTGGGTCGCATCTCGTCGCCACCGCTGGGTCCGCCTCGAAGTCCTGGTCGGCAGGCACCCCGGGAGAGGTCTGGGGGTAGCGGTCTCGGTGCCTTTTGGTTTCCCGAGGGTGTGCTCTGCCAGCGGCGCCGTTGGGGGGCCACCCCGTTGCGCCAGAGGCTTGACGAGCTCTCGTCGGGGCGCGGCGGAGACCTGCCCGCCCCTCCCCCCTCCACCCCCCTCCCCCCCCCTCCTCCCCCTCCTCCCCTCCCCTCCTCCTCCTCCGCCTCCTCCTCCTCCTCCTCCCTCCTCCTCCTCCTCCTCCTCCTCCTCCTCCTCCTCCTCCCTCCTCCTCCTCCTCCTCCTCCTCCTCCTCCTCCTCCTCCTCTCTCCTCCTCCTCCTCCTCCTCCTCTCCTCCTCCTCCTCCTCCTCTCCGCCTCCCTCCTCCTCCTCCTCCTCCTCCTCCTCCTCCTCCTCCTCCTCCCCTCCTCCCTCCTCCTCCTCCTCCTCCTCCTCCTCCTCCTCCTCCTCCTCCTCCTCCCCCCCCTCCCCCTCCCCCCCCTCCCCCCGCCCAGGGCTCGGGCTGCAAGCCACACCCTTGGCAAGCCACACCCTTCGGAGTCGCCGGCTTGCGCCTCAGAAGAGGGTATCGCGGAGCGCCCCTCGCGGGCGACGGGGCGACCGCGGAGCTCCCGAGCTTGGCCCCGCGCACCTGGCAGCCTCCCCCTCCTGTCAGGGGCAACGCCAGGGGGTGGATAGGCTCAGTCTAGGCCTTCCCGATGGGGTCCGAGTAGATGGGGTCGGAGGATCGCGCCGCATCGCCGATGCGTCGCCGATGCGGCTCGATGAGGAGCCCGACTTTCTCCAAGCCGATGTCGCCGATGCATCGACGATGCGGCGCGATCTCTCGACCCCATCTACTCGGACCCCATCTGGGAGGCCTCTACTCAGGGGGGCCTGCATCGGCCCCCAATCGCCCACTGATGACCGGCAGTAGCCTGGTAGCCCATCCCGTCCAGGAACATGCGGATTCGCCATTGGGACCTGTCGCCGATCTGTCGGCGACGCATCGCCGATTCTAGGCCGGTGCTTTCCCCCCTGAGCCGGCCCCACCCCTTAACGTTTCCCCTCGCGCATGCTCCTCCTCCCTCCTCCCTTCTCCTGTGTGCAAGCCACCGGCTCCCGGCTGTCTCGAGCCCGCCCGCTGTCCAGGGTCGTGCAAGACAGCGTTCGGACTGTCGCGAGCATTGGCGGGCGTGGGCAAGAAGAGGGCAGCGAGAGGCACAAGCGGCACCCAGAGTCCTCGAGATCCGTTCGCGAGGCTCCCAGAGCTCCCCAACACGAAGGACCTCTGAAGAAGAGAGATATCCTAGACCGTCAAGACACTTGAGACGCAATATACATACATATATGTATGCCATTAGTTGTTGATGACTGTGGCTGTGCAGGCTCTGGGTCCAAGGACAACTGGAAAAAGCTTTTCGGAGGGCCGAAAAGTGCCGAAGGGGGGCCAAATTAGAGCCCAAAGTGCATGGGAAGGGCGCTGAGGCGGTCCCACAAGGATGTACGGTACATGGACAACATGCTGTACCACCTGATGCCTTCAAGATTGTAGTACCCTTTTGCAATGGATAATCGTGTTCCATGCCGCCTCTCCCCCCCGATCTTGACATTGGGTTCGGCCCAGGCTGGTCGGAACATAACAGATCGGTGGTGTAACATTATGTCGGGCGTCCTGGCGATGGGGATCCAAAGACTATGCGCCATCCCCACAATGGTAAAACTAGGGGAGCGTGGGGGTGCACAGTGAAGTGTACATGTAAAGGTTCAGCAAAACTGGTGCAACATGTTGTCGATATACGGTAGGAGCCATTTAGATCGTCCAGACTACGTAGTGAGCCCGCAGAGCCAGGAAAAAGGCTGCTCCCAGGAGACAGTTTTATGTACATTTTCCCAGTAGAAGACATCTTGGACTAGGTGAGTGTTCGCGGGGTTACAGTTGCGGCACGCGTGTGGCCGACCCCTTGGGGTCGTCTTGGGGCTCTCCTCGGGCCCTTGGGCCTTCTCGTGGCATATGAGAACTTGCTCGGCGCACTCTCGGGCTTCACTGTTGGCCCCTTGTAGTTTCTTGGGCAAGCCTGGACGCATCTTGGGGACTATTGGCTCCGTTCTGGGAGATACTGAGAGAGGTCACGGGGCCGTCCTGAGCTGGTCTGGGGCCATCTCAGGCAGTCGTAAGCGGGTCTTGCGGAGAGTTCCCCCCGTCGCGGACGCTGTCCAGGCCAGCCAGGGGCCCGTCCAGAGACATCTTGCCAGCGTTGTGGTTTTGTTTTGGGTTGAAATCGAGGGAAGAAACACGAAAACCATGACCAAGATGTCGCGGGATCTTGTCGACACCGATCTTGGTCAATGACCATGTCGGCCGTCTCCGAGTCGCGAGGAAGATCCACGAAATGACGCTGACTGAGATCGACGGTGACCAAGATTGACATGACGTTTAGCCCCAAGCACTCGAGCCTCATGACCTACAGTTCTTCAGTGCCTTCGACATCCTGGGATCTCTTGGAGCACTTATTCAGGCTTGTCTGGGGGCTATCGTGGGGCTTCTTCAAGCCATCCTTGATGCCATATTGCCGCGTCGTTGTCAATCTTGGCCCCTCCTTCGAGGCCATCGCGTGCCATGTGGGAGCCACCTTGAGCCGAGCACACAGGATCGCCTAGCTCCTTGGAACATTCAGAAGTGGGGGGGCACCTGGACCATCCAGATGAGATTTGGGAGGGCCATGTGCATCAATATACGGTGGTACTGAATCCAGGCCGCCCTGATGGGGCCAGAGCATCTAGGATTGGAGGATTGCGCCGTACCGTGGACGCATCGGCGGATTGCTCGATCCAGAGCCCGATCTCCTCCATCCCCACGTCGCCGATACATGGGCGATGCGGGGCGAATCTCCAACCCCATCTGCTCTGGCCCCACTTGGGCGATCTCCAAAGAAGGTATGATATGCTCGCTCACTACTGCCAGCTGCAAACTGCGGGTAGCATTCTGTTGAGCGTCATTAACCCATCGGCATTCTTCAAGCACCTCCTGAGGCAGGTGTTACAAGAGTTGGTCTGCGCACAGCCGCCCCCCCCCCCCCCACACACACACACACACACCACCCACACACAACACACACACACACACACACAGCACCACACCCACACCACCACCACACACACACACACACACACACACACACACACACACACCCACACACACACACACACCACCACACACACACACACACACACACACAGCACACACACCACATGCAACATAACATCATACATACATACAAACAAACATACATACATACACACCACACACACGCAACGCACGCACGCACGCACGCACGCACACATCACACACGCAACACAAACACACACCTGCAACAACACGCACACACCACACACGCACACACGCACACACGCAACACGCACACACGCACGACACGCACAAACAACGCACACGCACACACACGCACACACGCACACACGCAACACACGCACACACCGCACCACGCACACACGCAACACACGACGCGCAAAAGCGCACACCCGCACACTCCGCACACACGCACCACAACGCCAACACTCACACACGCACACACGCACACACGCACACACGCACACACGCACAGCACGCCGCACGCCCTCCCGCCCGCCCGCCCGCCCGCCCGCACCGCCACGCACGCCACGCACGCCGACGCACTCCCACGTCTCGCAACGCACGCACCACGCACGCAGCACTACAGTGGGACGCACACACGCACCCACGCACACACGCACACACGCACACACGCACTACACTCACCACGCACACCAGACGCACACACACGAACACACGCACACAATCACACACGCACACACGCACACACGCACACACGCACACACGCACGACATGCCATACACGCACACACGCACATCACTCATACACGCACAACACACACACACGCACACAACACACACTCATCACACTCCCCACGCACTCACGCGACACAGCGCACACACGAACACACTCAACACACGCACACGCACAACACCACACTCAACCACGCACACACGCACACACGCACACACGCACACACGCACACACGCACACACGCACACACGCACACACGCACGCACGCACACACGCACGCACGCATACACGCACACACGCATACACGCACACACGCACACACGCACACACGCACACACGCACACACGCACACACGCACTCACGCACACACGCACACACGCACACACGCACTCGCGCACACACACACACACACCACGCACGCCTAAGCACAATCAATATCAATCGATGGATGGCAAGCGGTCGCACTCTTGTTCGTCCTCCTTGATCTCAGTCACGCTCGACCTTCCTCCCCCTCTAAGGTCAGCCGGCGCCCAAGCAGCCTGAGACCGCGGCTTCCATGTCCAGGCCTCGGGAGACGGCAACCGTCCACTTGCCAGCGAACCGATCTTGGCCAGCCAGATGTCAGGCCCAGAAACGGCGTTCGTTCCCCTCTTGGCTTCGATTGGGGACGCATCCGCCGCTATCGGGCCCAGGATGGGCTGGCCAGGATCGGTGGGCTCACAAAAGAAAAAGGATCGGTGGGCTCGAAAACCTCCAGAGACCTCCAGCACGGAAGTAGAGGAGGAGGAGGAGGAGGAGGAAGAGGAGGAGGAGGAGGAAGAGGAGGAGGAGGAGGAGGAGGAAGAGGACGAGGAGGAGGAGGAGGAGGAGGAAGGATAGAGGAGGGAGAAGGGAGGAGGGAGGAGAGAAGAGGGCAGGAGGGAGAAGGGAGAAGGAATGAATGGAGAAGGAAGGAGGGATGAGGATTACAGGGTGGACACGGTACGTTTTGCCTCCTGCCCGGGCATTCACCCCCGCAGGCTTTCTGAGAGGCAGCGGTGGCCGAAACAGTGGCGACAAGCGCCCTGGAAGACCTCCCGGCGACGCGCCCACGGGCTCACGGTCAGGAACGTTCGCTTACCCAGCGTGTTTCACCGTCGGCTCTGGCCTACCACGCTTCGGCGCACCAGGCTAACGATTTCCCAACTCCCAAGCGCCAACGCCCCCCGCCAATCCGCGCCCCCCGCCCCGCGGAGCGGGGCGACATGCTGTCCGCTTGCAGGGCATGGCGTGTCGCCGGGACCGCCGCCGCGACACGCTGAGCTCAGATCCCCGCGGCGGCCGAGGGCCGAGCCCCTCGACTTCTGATGTGGCCCGCTGGGTTTCTGCCTGGCCTGGCGCGCGGCCGGATGGGTTTCACTGTGACACACGCTGGCCCTTGAAATCAAGACAAAATGTAAAGATTTATGTTATCAGCTCTGGAACGCTTGGCCACTCCTCAGGGCTGGCGGTTGCGCCCAGAACCCAGTGGCCACACGAAGCCGTACAGAGTGTAGTTGAAGTCAAATTGAGTAGTAGTAGTAGTAGTACTAGGACTAGTACTAGTACTAGTACTAGTACTAGTACTAGTACTAGTACTAG